CCCCCCCCCCCCCCGCCTGTTGTTGCAACAAAGTCCACGCTTTTGAAGCGGCCCTACAAGTAGAACAACCCCCCTTTGTGGTGGACGGCCCAATGGTCGCAAAGTAGCCGCTGACGATTAGGCTCGCATCCCGACATGTGTTCGCTCCTGGATGTCTCGTCGAACGTTGCGGTGGTGTTGCGCCCGCACAGGGGCTGTTCGAGGCTCCAAGAAGGGACGGAGCGACCACGAACGGGGCGGTGCCGGTGTCCGCAGAAAGACCACGCTCGCGAGGCACCTTCTCCGGTCTCGCCCCGCGTCTACGGAGGTCCCGCCCTTCGAGAGTTTCAAGTGCCCGAAGGAGGGTTGCGGCAATGTACACAAGCTCGGGGACCGGTGGTTCTTCGACATCCTCCAGAAGAAGTGGAAGTACGTGGGGCCCAGGTGTCAACCCAGGGGCGGTCATTCGGAGGCGGAGATGGTACCGTGTTCAGACGCGGAGGGGAAGGAGGTGTGCGGCGACAAGGATATGAAGACGTTGCCGTTCGTCGGGAACGANGTTTCAAGTGCCCGAAGGAGGGTTGCGGCAATGTACACAAGCTCGGGGACCGGTGGTTCTTCGACATCCTCCAGAAGAAGTGGAAGTACGTGGGGCCCAGGTGTCAACCCAGGGGCGGTCATTCGGAGGCGGAGATGGTACCGTGTTCAGACGCGGAGGGGAAGGAGGTGTGCGGCGACAAGGATATGAAGACGTTGCCGTTCGTCGGGAACGACAGGGCCTCTGAGGTGGTGATGAACAACCAGGACGCATACGCGGTGTGGCTGACAGAGGATGCGGCGCGGTTGAAAAAGTAGAGGAGGTACCCGCAGTATGGTTCCGAGTCAGATTCCACCGTCGACTACGACGACGCCCAGACCTACTACGGCGAGGGCTCTGTGAGGCATGAAGGAGCACCGGTGAGCCTGGTCAACGGGTGCCACCAGATCATGCGTGATCCTCCTGATTTGGCGTGAGGGAGCTTGGGGTAGCCTGGTCGAGAGTTGAAAACGACGGGCTGTGTACACCCTGTGGTGGCGTTAGCGAGACGGGTCTAGAAAGAAACCGCCCGCAGACTTCCAGAGTAGACGAGTAGAGGTCATCCAGTTCGGTCAGTTAGGGATCGGATTGCGTCGTGTAAATTGAATTCGAAGCGTTGTTGTGTCACTTGGCGACGCCTTTTTTTCCGGCATTAGCGGCGGCTTTTATTCGAGCAGGCACGATCATCCTCGTGTGACCTACAGTAGTACATATTGGTTGCTGCCAGTGTCGTGTTGCTGTAGAATCACCCAACCAATTGGTCATTTGTGTTCCATAGGTGGCGTAGATAGCGACAGAGAGAATGAGTTTTTTCGTGTCTCATCATCATTTTATTCATTACGTAGATTTTTGGTCGGTTGATGCAGTGTGCACGGGCCTACCGGGATAGCCCCAAAAAAGCTGCTGTTATTTATGGTTTTGAGAATCCTCCTTCTATGTGTGTGTGCATGTGTGTGTGAAAACTGTGTGTTTGTGCAACACAAAGCCCCGATCAAAGTAGAGAAAAGAAAGGTGTTTCTCCCGGGGTTTTAGTCTCAGTCAGTAGGACGTGTTTTAACATTTTGTTTCAAACACAAGATATCGATGGCGGTGGCGTGAAAAGTTGGTGGACATTGGGTGAAAAGTGAACGAGGAAAGCAGAAAATTGTGAATGAATGGTAGGTAGATTTTTTTAACACACTTGGACATCCACTTGCGAGATGTCGGGCCGGCCAGTGATGACACGATCGGAGGAGGAACAGACCGCCGGTTAGGGGGTGCTCTAGAAATGGAAGGCGCTGCATTGCCCACACTGCATTTGCGGATTTGGGAATTGATTCAAGAGATCGGTGACAACACGCTGTAAAATGAAATACACTTGCATGATTCACACTACTTTGTGTTCCTTTTTCTCGACGACAAAGCATCGGGGGGGTGCTACCAGTAGCATGATGTCACCCTTTCCACTGCCGGCAATGCTCGTCTGCCCGTGGTCGGTCAAGTGTGGGTCGGGTTCATGTGTAGTGTAAATTCTTACGGACGGAAGCAATCGATGCTTGATGGCGTCTGGTCCGACAGTCCAGAAGGGAACGAGTGTGTTTCCGTGTGCCTGGCAATTCCCGGGTGATTGACAGGTAGTAGGTGTCAGTAGGTGTCTTCAATCAGTCCAATCAGTCGCTTCAATCAGTCCAATCAGTCGTCCACGGTCAATTTGCAATTTTTTGAATCGAAGCGAAAAGTGTCTTCACGAACGTGGCTGACGTCATCGGTCGACCATGGAATTTTCTGCACACAGGAAATTTCCTTTCAAGACAATTGGCCAATCAGAAAACTGCGGGAACTTTGAACGAGTGTGTTTCCGTGTGCCTGGCAATTCCCGGGTGATTGACAGGTAGTAGGTGTCAGTAGGTGTCTTCAATCAGTCCAATCAGTCGCTTCAATCAGTCCAATCAGTCGTCCACGGTCAATTTGCAATTTTTTGAATCGAAGCGAAAAGTGTCTTCACGAACGTGGCTGACGTCATCGGTCGACCATGGAATTTTCTGCACACAGGAAATTTCCTTTCAAGACAATTGGCCAATCAGAAAACTGCGGGAACTTTGAACGAGTGTGTTTCCGTGTGCCTGGCAATTCCCGGGTGATTGACAGGTAGTAGGTGTCAGTAGGTGTCTTCAATCAGTCCAATCAGTCGCTTCAATCAGTCCAATCAGTCGTCCACGGTCAATTTGCAATTTTTTGAATCGAAGCGAAAAGTGTCTTCACGAACGTGGCTGACGTCATCGGTCGACCATGGAATTTTCTGCACACAGGAAATTTCCTTTCAAGACAATTGGCCAATCAGAAAACTGCGGGCACCTTTTATCTCTCTCTCTTTCCACTGCCGGCAATGCTCGTCTGCCCGTGGTCGGTCAAGTGTGGGTCGGGTTCATGTGTAGTGTAAATTCTTACGGACGGAAGCAATCGATGCTTGATGGCGTCTGGTCCGACAGTCCAGAAGGGAACGAGTGTGTTTCCGTGTGCCTGGCAATTCCCGGGTGACTGACAGGTAGTAGGTGTCAGTAGGTGTCTTCAATCAGTCCAATCAGTCGCTTCAATCAGTCCAATCAGTCGTCCACGGTCAATTTGCAATTTTTTGAATCGAAGCGAAAAGTGTCTTCACGAACGTGGCTGACGTCATCGGTCGACCATGGAATTTTCTGCACACAGGAAATTTCCTTTCAAGACAATTGGCCAATCAGAAAACTGCGGGAACTTTGAACGAGTGTGTTTCCGTGTGCCTGGCAATTCCCGGGTGATTGACAGGTAGTAGGTGTCAGTAGGTGTCTTCAATCAGTCCAATCAGTCGCTTCAATCAGTCCAATCAGTCGTCCACGGTCAATTTGCAATTTTTTGAATCGAAGCGAAAAGTGTCTTCACGAACGTGGCTGACGTCATCGGTCGACCATGGAATTTTCTGCACACAGGAAATTTCCTTTCAAGACAATTGGCCAATCAGAAAACTGCGGGAACTTTGAACGAGTGTGTTTCCGTGTGCCTGGCAATTCCCGGGTGATTGACAGGTAGTAGGTGTCAGTAGGTGTCTTCAATCAGTCCAATCAGTCGCTTCAATCAGTCCAATCAGTCGTCCACGGTCAATTTGCAATTTTTTGAATCGAAGCGAAAAGTGTCTTCACGAACGTGGCTGACGTCATCGGTCGACCATGGAATTTTCTGCACACAGGAAATTTCCTTTCAAGACAATTGGCCAATCAGAAAACTGCGGGAACTTTGAACGAGTGTGTTTCCGTGTGCCTGGCAATTCCCGGGTGATTGACAGGTAGTAGGTGTCAGTAGGTGTCTTCAATCAGTCCAATCAGTCGCTTCAATCAGTCCAATCAGTCGTCCACGGTCAATTTGCAATTTTTTGAATCGAAGCGAAAAGTGTCTTCACGAACGTGGCTGACGTCATCGGTCGACCATGGAATTTTCTGCACACAGGAAATTTCCTTTCAAGACAATTGGCCAATCAGAAAACTGCGGGCACCTTTTATCTCTCTCTTTGTGCCTGCTGATAGCGTCACGAGTAACTTACCCAATACTTCGGATGTGAAGGCCCTGCCGGTGGTAGCAGGAGCGTCCTCCCCCTGAGGGAAGACCCATGGATGAACGCGGTATGCGTGCGTGACCACCTTGTTCGCTTTGTCTCTCGTCTCCCGACTGGGCACGGTACACGTTGACGCAATCGGTCTTGTTCCAATGCTTCCGTCGTCTCTCCCGAACGTGGACAGAGGCTCGCGATGTCCACCACGTTTTGACACAGTGTGCCCCGACGCTGCCTGACGCAGAGGCTGCGTGCAGTGCAGACAGTTGGGGAAAAGCGCTCTGCCCAATGCTGCAGCCTCTGGCTCTTGGGAGGTCCTTGATCTCCCGCGATATGTCGATCGGGGCAAAGCAACCGTCACCGTACCATGCATCTCTAGACTGGTGTACCGCACCCGTCAGAGAAGAGCTGCCGTTGCCCAGCACCGCCTGCTTGGTGGCACTCAGGGAAAAGGTGAGACATTGTGTGTTCTTCCACACTCTCTTTCGAGGAAAAGGGTTGGTTTGGTCAATAGGAAATCTCCGCCAACAGCGGATCGTACCTGTTGCAGATCCATGGTCCCGGTAAAAACAGTGCAGTTTCGTTCAGCGTTTGAGGAAGGAACAGCTTGCGCGATCGCACCGTTGCCTTGAGTTTCAGAGTTCTTGGTCACCATCGTGAGTTGCCAAAACCCTCACCATCCTGTTCATCGGGGTCCGGCAAGGCGTGTAGCGGCACGAACCTATCATCCTGTTGGTCTGCGGCGGTCTGCAGCGCAGGCACAATCGACTGCAGCAAAGATGCACGAAGACACCACCTCGGCTGGTGTCCTAACTATCTGATCCAACGCCACAGTGATGATTGTGGAAGAAGCGGCGGATAGACGAAGAAGATACTGGGTCAGTCCAGCAAGGACACACATGCTGTTGGCAAGTGCAAGCATTGCCCCCCGGGTAAAGGGCGCATGAAGTGTTCGTGTGTTTGGATACGGACAGGTATTGATCGACCGCAGTAACGGATATATTCGCAGATAGGAACGTAGACATACCATTTTGGGGTTCTTGTGTTTGTGACCCTACTTCTCTGTTTTCCGGAAGCACTCGTCTTCTTCTCTTCTCTTGCTTCTGCGTTTCTAATACAAGCGATATTCAGTCTCTCCCTTCCAAGTCGCGGACATATACAACACACTAGTGATCCATCCCTCGAGGGAGTCCATTCGGAAAATGGAGAGCCATGGAGACGGGAGCGAAAATGCTCCCGGTGGTGATCCTGGTGGGAGACCAGATGAGGTTGAGATGCTACGAGGCAAGGTAGCCTCGTTGGAAGCATCGCTGGACAGCAAGTTTGACGGCATGATGGCCATGATGTCGAAGCTGTTGGCCAAAGGAGAAGGGTCAGGCAGCACCACGGAGGGTGCTGCTGCTGGCAGCGGCGCCATGGAGGGCGCCGCAGCTACTGCGGAAGTCCGGAGAGGGGCACCGCAGAGTTGGAGTGGACAGGGCGAGACGTACCTGCCCGAACCTTTGAGAGAGTCTGGTCCTCCTGCGGGAGGGCGACACAGCGGCGAAGCTAGGGGGTTAAACCCCCGAGAGGTGAGAGTAGCCGCTGCTCACAACCAAGGTGGTTTTGGTTTCAGTAGTCCCACGGGGAGTGGTGGTGCTGCTGAGGTTGGTGTGTATGCTGGGGGCGGAGAGTACGCTTACAGCAGTGCAAGATATGCACCAAACAAGTTCAACGGGGACCCAAAGGATTTCCCGACGTGGAAGGAGGATTTTCTCATGATGGCAAATGGTGCTAACCTAGCTCAACAGTTTCAGGAAGGAACGGTGGAAATCCCTGTGCACAACAACGGTGGTCGGACCAAACAAGAGCTGTGTATTGACTACCCAAGCCAGCAAGTAGAACTGGCTTTTCACGCGTGGAACTTTTTGAGCCATGCACTCACGACAGACGAAGACAAGAAGACGATCAGGAGGGCACAGTCGCCTCTGGGGGCGCTTCGGGAATTGCAAGAGATGTATGACCCGATCACAACCATGCAGAATGCAGATGACATGCAGAAGTTATTGGTCAAGAGAATCCCCGATGATCGACACCCCGTGCACACCCTCCGTGATATGTTGACGACTGCCGAACGCCTTAACACGAAAGGCATCGTTGCTAACGAAACTTTCGTTTTGAACCACTTCGTTGGTGCGCTTCCGAACGAGTTTGCCATGACCAAGCACAACCTGCGGCACCAGAAGGTTTTGACGAAAGAAGACGTGATTCGCGAGGTCACAATCGAGTACAATGCGATCACGGAGAAGCGGAAAGCAGCGAAGAGAGGAGCACGGGGCCCCGAGCAGGCCTACCTCGCCAACGGTGGCCGCGGCACGCGGTCATCTGGCCGAGGCTGGGGCCAGGGTCGTGGTGGTGGCCGCGGCAGCAGCGGCGGACGCGGCAACGGCCGGGGCGGTAGCAGCAAAGGCGGAGGGGATGGTGGAACGAAGGAGAGCAAGTCGGACAGTAGTGGGGGAACAGGGGCCGGCGGTCGCGGCGGTGGGAAAAGCGAGATTCCTTTCCGGTGCTTCACGTGCGGTCTCAAGGGGCACAAGTCGTTCCAATGCGAGACCAAGGAGAGCGACTACAACCCGCAATGTGAGCACTGCCTAGGGTGGGGCCACAAGAAGGAGAAGTGTCCTACGGAGGCGGCGGTGCTTGCCGAGGTGGTGAGCGATGTTGATTCCGTCGAGAACCAGGCCTACATGGCGGAGGCAACCCAGCCAGGCGAGTGTGGTCGTACCGTTGATCTTGGTCTAGTGGGGGTAGAGGAACAAGGCCAGGGTGTCATGAGGTACGTGGCCGATTCAGGGGCCACGTGCTCCATGTTCAGAAGCGCAGACGGCTTCAAGAACTACCAAGAGTGTAATCGACGGGTGAAGGGGATTGGTGGAGAATTCCTTCGAATTCTAGGATACGGGGACGTGACCGTAGTCCTTCAGTCGGAAGGCCAAGAAGTACCCGTGCCGATTAAGCGTGCAGCCCATGTGCCAGGAATGGACTTGAACCTTATCTCGCTCACTTCGTTGACCGAGGAAGGCCACACGTACGCTGGAAAACCGGGGGGGCTAGTGCTAACCACGAAAGCAGGGAAGGAAGTGTGGTTCCCCCAACTCGGAAAATTGCTCTCTCTGTGGGGCTATCAAACCGAGCCCGAGGTAGACACCGCCTGTGCCGCTATTATTGTTCCTGGCGAAGCGAAAGCCGCCACCCCCACTGACCTCAACGAATTCCACAACTCGCACGGCCACGCTCACGAGAGGTTGCTGAGGCTCACGGCGAAGCAGCAGGGAGTGGAGCTGACGGGAGGGCCGCTCCTGAGCTGCACCGGCTGCTCTATGGCTAAGGGGCAGGTGAAAGCCGTTCAGAGATTCACGGACACACGCGCAGTTAAGAAACTGTTTCGAGTTTTTATCGACCTGGGGGGGCGGATGCAGTTCCATAGCATCGGGGGCAGATGGTACACCCTCATCATCAGATGCGATGCCACCCGTTGGACGCGCGTGTTTTTTCTGAAACGCAAGTCTGAAGCAGCCGACGCACTCGAGCAATTTATCGCGGATTACCGGTCGGAGGGTACTCCGTGTGAGGTGTACGTTGTGCGTTCAGACAACGAATTCCAGGGGCAGTTTTCGAAGACTTGCCGGAAGTGGGGTATCAAGCAAGAGAAGACCCCCCCGCACACCCCCAAGTACAACGGTGTTGCGGAAAGATGGCTAGGCATCATTAGTGATGCCGCACTAGCGTCACGCATTCAAGCTAAGGAGATGTTCCCTGACGCGCCAACTGACCCGGCCTTGTGGGCTGAGGCGATCGCATGTGCATGCCATCAACTGAACTGCACCGCCACCACCGCCAACCCCGGGGACAAATCTCCGTATGAGATGTTCCACGGGAAACCGCCCCCGGCCGGGTCGGTGTACCCGTTCCTCAAACCGGCGGTGTACAAGGCACGAAGAGAGAGAAAATCGCACCCCAAGGGCCGAAAAGGATGGTACCTCGGACCGGCCCACAACCACCCCCGTGATTGCGTCCGCATGCTAACCGAAGCTGGAACCGTAGTCACCACCCGCAACTTCACTTGGCGCCACGTACCCGCTGTTTCGCCCGTTCCCCCGCAACTGCCCCTCGCGGATATTGGGGAGGGAGGGGAGGGCGAGGGCAGTGAGGACACGTCGAGTCGAGGTGGAGGGGGGGAAGAGGACTTGGCGAGTGAGTCCGACCTCGACATGACGGAGATCCGTGGGCCGGGGCGTGCGACACTGCCGGCGCGCGAGAATGCGCCGGCGGTACCCGGCAACGGGATCCAGGGGGACGAAGGTAGTGCTCCCCCGTCGCCCCATTTGGGAGGGGGCGATTTTGGTGGCGGCGATGGCATCCCCACCAGCAGCAGCAGCAGCAGCGACAGCAGCAGCAGCAGCAACAGCAGCAGCAGCAGCAGCAGCAGCAACAGCGACACCAGCGGCGGCGGCGGTGAACCCGAAGACTCCGGCGGAGAGGCCGGGGGAGCTGGGGGCTCCGACGTCGACGGCGAGGATAGCGGCGGCAGCGACGACGGCGAGTACAAATACGACCCCGCCGATACCCGCTACCCCCCCGGGACGCAGGGAAAGAAACTTCTCTGGGGCGCCTCGAAGGAGGGCCCACTGCGCTACGGGCTGCAGCGCGGTCGCACCCGGAAGCAGACACGGGAGCTAGCGGAGGCCGAGAGGACCGCCGAGGGTGCCGCCGAGGAGGCCGCCGAGGAGGCCTTGCTGTCAACAGTCCTGGAGGTGGAGGGAGGCAAGGAGCTCGTCGCTGAGTATCTCCAACGGTCGTTGGTGGAGGAGCGCCAGATGGAGGAAATGGCCCTACAGGCTGAGATTGAAGAGATGATGCTGCAGTCGGACGTGCCGGTGGAACGTCCTTTCAACATCGACTGCAGCAACCCTGAGCTAAGTATCCCCTCGCCAATCGGGCAGAAACCTAACGATGTAGAGGCTCTGCCGTTGACGTACGAGGACGTGAAATGGTCTAAGTACAGGAAGCAGTGGGACGAGGCAATCAAGAAGGAGATGGACGGGCATGAGAAAACAGGGACGTTCTCTAAAATCGAGAAGCTCCCTGAAGGTCGGAAGGCAGTCAGTACGAAGTGGGTGTTCGATTACAAGACTGATGAGAAGGGGTTGATTACCGACTTCAAGGCCCGTCTGGTTGCTCGTGGTTTTTCCCAAGTCCACGGACAGGACTACCACCACTCTTCATCAGCGTGCCCAGCCGTTTCATCGATTAAGCTCGCGATGGCCTTTGCCACAGAGGGCGGCCTACCCACACGCCATTTCGACATTAAGCAGGCGTACACGCACGCAAAGATCCAGGAAGAACTCTATGTGCGGATTGCCGATGGTAGTGGTGCCATGGCTGGCAAGGTGCTCAAGGTAGAACGGGCACTGTATGGTCTGAAGCAGAGTGGGCGTGAGTGGGGTTTTGAGGCTGCTAATATCCTGGTGGATAGCGGGTACGAGCAGTGCAGGGCTGACCCGTGTGTGTTCCGTAAGATCGTGGATGGGAAGGTAGTGAGCATCATCGTGATCTACGTGGACGACATCATGTACGTAGGGTCGGAAGAAGAGGGCGAGGAGTTGCTCACTTCCCTGCGTAAGACACTTCCTGTGAAGGATTTGGGGGAGTGCACCTGGTACGATGGATGTGCGATTGAAAGGGATTTGGAGTTGGGAACGACCACACTGTCCCAGAAAGCGTACATTGCAGGACTGATGGACCGTTTTGGGATCACGACGACCGCATCCACCCCCGCTGACCCCAATGCCGATCTAGGGCCGAAGAGAGATGACGAGCCCGGGGTGGATAAGCCAGTGAGGCAGGCGATCGGATGTCTGATGTGGCCTGCGACATTTACGAGGCCGGACATCGCCACCGCTCTGAACGCAGTGCAACGGAACGCTCATGCGCCCACCATGCGAGACTGGAAGGCGCTCGTGCAGATCCTGAGCTATCTCAACGCCACGATGGACCTCGGCATCACCTACGTTCGGGGTTCGGGGCTAGACCTAGAGGTGTATGTTGATGCCAGCTACGCCGACAGGGACACCGGCAGGCGTTCGGTGACGGGAATAGCCGTAACTGTTGGTGGTACCGTGGTCAGCCACGCTAGCAAGACGCAGCGTATCGTGTCTCTGTCGACCTCGGAGGCTGAGTACATTGCAGCCGGGGAAGGCGTGAAAGAAGCCTTGTTTGTGCGTGCGGTGCTGTCTTTCATAGCGCCTGAGACGAGTGGGGCGAAGATCAAGGTCCTTGAGGACAACCAGGGGGCGATATCGTTGGTGCAGAACCCCTTTAGCTCGGCGAGGAGCAAGCACATCGACGTGCGGTTCCATTTCATTCGAGAGCTGTTCAAGTCGGGCAGAATCTCCGTCGAGTACATCCCGACTGACGAGCAGCACGCCGACCTTCTCACCAAGGCTCTTGGTAGGACCAAACTAGAAGACCACCGGAATGCTCTGATGAACATCCCGGGGTAGTGGTCTGTTTTTTTTTTTTTTGTTTAGCACTGGACTTTATGATCATGGTACGTCACGCAGGAAGGATTTACCGGCACGTCACTCGAGGTTGGAGCCTAGAAGCGCCCGTAGCGCTACCGAGAGATGCGTAATCCCCGTGCCCGGTACAATTTGTCCTGCCTTGATCTTGTCTTGGAAGTGCGGCCGTTGGAATCCTCCGTGATAGCGACGGTTATATATGTTTAGGGTAGGCGAGGGTTTTTGATCCGGATGGCCGGGTTTTCCCTTGCACCGTTACTGTTTAGAGTCCCTAGGTCTGATCAGGGGTAACCATGCCCCACGGATGGTTTGCCACTTGCGTGAAAAACCAGGGAGGGTGTTCGTGTGGTTGAATACGGACAGGTATTGATCGACCGCAGTAACGGATATATTCGCAGATAGGAACGTAGACATACCATTTTGGGGTTCTTGTGTTTGTGACCCCTACTTCTCTGTTTTCCGGAAGCACTCTTCTTCTTCTCTTCTCTTGCTTCTGCGTTTCTAATACAGGCGATATTCAGTCTCTCCCTTCCAAGTCGCGGACATATACAACATGAAGCGTGCTGGTGGTAGCATCTCGTCCATGCACAAGTACATGAACCAAGTATACCCCCCGTAGGGTAATGCTTGCGCTTCACGTAGTTGGCGCCCACGTCCAGGATGAAGTCATCCCAGATCTTCGACGTCTTCGCCTTTTTGGCGGCAGGGTTGGCAGAGCCACCGCCGGAGTTGCCGCTCCTCTCCGTTTCGCTGCTGCTGCGGCTAGCTCCAGGGGGAGAGCTGGAGGAGCCGCCTTGAGCAATGCCAGTTACCTCCACTTCCATGTCACTGCTGTCACTCTTGCCTTTCTCTTCCTCTTCCTCGTGGTCCTCATCAGGGTCGTCCCCCTCGGATGAGCTGTCACTCTCGTCTGCCGCAGTAGCAGCTCGTTTCTTGGCTGGTGGCGTCTTGGCGCGTGACGACACGCGTGCGCGCGGCGTTTGGCTGGGCGCCGCTGATGCCGATCGCTGGGCCGTAGATTCACTTCCAGGAAGGCTGCCTCCTAGCTCATGCAATGGTGGGACCGTGTACGCTGGAAAGGCTAGCTAGGTGTGGGAGGTGGCTGTGAAGCTGTGTGCTACGTGCTGTGTGTGTACATCGGGGGCACCGGAAACACCCGGATACCCGTGGACCCGGGTGCCGAAATACCCGGGTGTCAATTGGTGGGCCTGGAATCGGCCGGGTATTGTCAGAACCGGATACCGGACCAAACCGGGGGATAACCCTAGCTGTTGCACAGCTAGTTTCCAGAGCCTTCTGCACCCCCTTGAAAGCTTCCATGAAACCACGAAGAAAATGGTAAACTTGACTGAGAGGTGTGCCCGATACCGTTCGTCCTCAGCATGATGACATGCATGGCCCTCGACTGTTGCAACTACTTCTTGGCTGCCAAGGGCAAGAAAAGGTCAACGCCACAGGGGGCCGACAAAGTGTATGCGGGAGGGGCAAGTTGTGCCCGGGAGCTCCTGACTGTTGGGATGCATGACAAAAGCTGTCCATAAGCGATCTTCGGCGGCACTAGACTATTGGACTGGACGTGCTGCTACACGCGCGGTGATGTTCCTATCATATACCGTTTCCGCATGCAGCAGATCCTTCTACCCTTGTACGCTGGATTGGTGTCCTCTGTTCGGCTCCCTTTGCGCCGACACCCGCTCACTCCCATGCCGTATCTAATCGTTTCCTCTATCGTGTCACTTCAGGGGATAATGTATATGAACAGCAATGGAATGTCCATGCACTTACAGAAAAAGACCGCCGCCCTCGTTTTTGTGAGCTAAAGTGGTCGCCCACGGCGTGTTTCCGTCTCTACCTTACTACTGAAAGTACATTTGATCTACTGCGGAGTGAGTATTGGACGCAACATGGATGAGAGATACTTCAAAACAACTATATCTAAAACTATCGATGACATTGACTAGCATTTCATTTCAATGTACATTCATGTGATCCCAGTCGACGAGACTTGATCGATATTGAGTGTTTGAACACGAATATCGCCAAGCGTGGGTGGGAAAAGAATGTACCAAGTCAATACATCCGCGCGTCACTCAGGGATGCAAACGAGAGTTGTCAATTTTGACATACTGTCCGTTGTTAAGGAGTGTTGCTGTATGGCACAGATAGGGTACACGGTCGGTCTAGATTAAGATGGGGGACGTCAGGAGGTATACCGTCTTAGGACGTACCCCATCGG